TATAAAGAAAATTTTCGTTAGAACTTATTTGTTTATTATAAACTCAAACTTAAAATTTTATTTTAAAAAATTAAAATTTTTTTACTCAAATCAATGTTCACGGAAGCCAAAACATTTTTTTAATTAATTTTTTATATTTAAAAATCATATTAAATATCAATTAATTCAAAATTAATTGTGTTAGACTCATATAAGGAAAATTTTTGTTAGAACTTATTTGTTTATTTATAAACTCAAATTTAAAATTTTATTTTAAAAAATTAAATTTTTTTTACTCAAATCAATAAATCATTAATAAACAAAAACATTTTGAACCGGAAAATAACTCAATTTTCTTTAACAAAATTTTTGAGGTCAAATTGCGGTTTGTTTGTTTTGATGTTTTGGGCGTAGGGAAGCTAACGTTTTTTTCTAGTCGTTTTAGCCTTGAAAAGTAAACTTGTAGGCAGGAAAATTTAGATAAGAAATAATTTGTAATATGTAGACAATTAAAAAGTAAAAGAAAGTATATTGAGATTAATCAGCACTTTTTAGTTTGTTTTTAGTCATTTTAATTTAATTTTTTAATTTTTTATACATAAATTTTAAATAAAATTTTAATAATTTATATAAACAATGATTATAATTTATTCCTTATATATAATTTCTATTGAATATTTTTATTTAATTAAAAAATTTTAATTAATTATTATTTACATATTATAATAAATTTTTATTTAAATTTAATTTTTAAAAATTAAATTAAAATTATTAAAAATAGACATAAAGAGTAATATTTTTATGCTATATAATCTTAACTTAAAAAATATTTTATAATATAATTACAAAACACTAATTATTAAATTGAAAAACTTTAATATTAGAGATAATTTTAATTAATAATTATTATTTTAAAATTTAATATAATTTAAATAACAAAATACCAAACTCTAATTAAATTATCTAAAACACTGCACAGCAACATCACGGCAGAAAGTACGCTCACGCATACAGATTGGAGCGTGGTCCTTCCAAAGCACAAGTTGAAACCCACTGTACACAACGAAATTATTAATAAAGTAATAAATAAGTACTTTCTTTTTATTCTATAGCAAGAAGCAATTATCTCATCCTCTTTATATTATCTTATTCGTATATTATGTAATTTAGCTTCAGAACTCTTTATTTTCAATAAAAAGAGTTACCTGATTTATTTAAGTTGTTAATTTTTTTTTTTCTTTTTTAAGCAGTACAATTGAAAAATAAAAAATGGAAATTAAGATTCGCGTTAAGCTTAAATTTTTAGATGTGAACACTTTCCAAATTGTGGGCATTAATCCACAGTGATGGTCGGCGTACCGTTTTCTTTCGTTGGTGCTCGTAATAATTATAATACCGACTCTGAAGTCTGACCTCTGTGCCTCTCCAAATTTCTCTCAACTATCTTCCTTCCGTCTTTAATTCTTCGCTCTGGAGCCCCATCACATGTTCGATTTTGAGGATGATTTCATTCTAGAAAGCTCCAGAATTCCATGGATTATATGGATCCAGATACTGGTCTTGCTCCTCCTCATGTTGCTTCTCTACTGCTTCTTCAGCATATTCTCTTTAGATCCCTCAACAGATACCAGTCGTTCGTTGTCGGCTTCATCATCCATCTCCCACGAACCCCATTTCAAGAAGCCTGTTTCCAACCATAACAACACCGCCGCCGCCGTCGCTACTGATTGCTTCCAGCAGGCTGCCCAGGTATGACATGATCAACACCCTCAAATTTACAGTTTGAATTTGTTTTGTTTTCATTAATTTACAGCCGTAATCATCACCCCCTAAAGATTGATGGTTGCCTTCTTTTTTCCATAATCCTAAATTTTCAGTAGTAGTCTTTTTGCTTAAGCACGAAGGAAGGTCTGTTGAAACCTAACTACTTTATTGAGAGAGGTAGATAAGTGTGCACAACTTAGAAGCATGGTATTTGTTTTCCTTTTTAGAGGAACAATGAAGATGATGACAACGATCATTATTATTGTATTATTGCTAACACGTCAAAACTCTGATTTTGATTCTCCCGTACGAACAGTTTTTCTTTTAAAAAAATATACAAAATAAGAGAAAATAAAAATTAAAATAGTTGAAATAAATCATAAAACTTACAATATGTCTCACTTATTTAATAGTTGAGATTAAACTTATTAACATTTTTAATAATAAAATGACCTAACTCTCTGCATTTTATTTTAATAATGTAATTTATAGTAAATTTCAACCAAATGTGAGCATAATTGGCATTGGGGTTACTTTTGCCTTAACAATGTGATCTTTAGATTCATATACCCTACTATTAATATCATTTTGGCAGTGTTCTGTACTAAATTAATGGGTTTAATGGCAAAGACTAAGACTATACAATTTAGCTTATAGTCTCACCTTATCCATGTTTCAATTCAATTTACATTGTTTCTTGTCATTGTATTTAGGTAACTTTCTTGTATTATTACCTAAGGGGTGGTAAATCGGTTGGCAAGGATATTTCCTTCTCGCCTTATTGATCCAACTAGCAATTTCTAACCAAATTCAATTTGTTTTGTCACACATAAGAATGGGAATGCAGAATATTAATTTGTGCAATGGATCATGGCAGGGAGGAGAAAACCAAAGCATAAAAGGGGATATAGCAACTGGCACGAGGAGGAGAGTTGTGAGAGGAGAGGACAATGTAGAAAGGGAGGGCCCTTCTTCAAAAGATGCTAGCCCCATCAGTCTTCACCCTTGTCATTATTTCAGACTCGCTAAAATTGCATTTCTTAAGTGCTTGGGCCTGGATCCCTCAGCATCTGAACAAAGAAGACAAACTTAACACTGCATTGACATCTCTGTTTTCCTCTGTTATTGATTCGTCTAAGTTCATTTGTCTAGCTTGATTAAAAGTTGATGTACAGGGAATAGTACAGTGAGAACTGAGAAGAATGAATTGAATATGAGATGATAGAGTTGTGAGTATAACTCATGCAATTTCTAGGATAATATTTGGTTTATTTTTTGGATTTTTTTTTACCTTACATAAATGATATATACTAATGATTACCTCTCCTCGTTAGATTAATTTACAAAAAGTACTTTGTTTACAATGTTCCGTAGTATTATATAATTTGATTATTGTTATATAGGGCCTATAAGTGAATCAATATGGATTTACTTGATTAATTGTAAACTTTAAATCATACATGATTCACCGTATGCATACTACCAGTTTACCAAAACCTCTCAATAGTGGCAGGTTACAACAAACAACTGCAGTTTTAATACATAACTAATTCCAAATTTAATTTCCTGGAGATTGGAGAACCCATGTTCAGCTATTTTCCTTATTCACGCACTTTTCTGGCCAAAATCCAGGCTCATATTTTTCCATTTTCTCCACCAGATGAAGACTGCCTTTATGCATGGACATAAAAACCCATCTGATGAGCTTAATATCAAACATTATCTTAATTCTTTCTTACAAACTTTAAACATGGTAAATTATTAAAAGAAAAGGAAAAGTCAAAAATTCAGGTCTCTCTCCTCTGTGTAACACATAAAAGAGAGAATATGAGATATTAATATTCACCTTTTCCCTTGAGTGTTGTTGTTGCTGATCTTATGTTTTGATTGCCAAATTTTGAACATCCAAAATTGATGACAAGAAATCAAAATTTAAAATTAAATTCGAGAACTTGTTATGTAAATGCAGAACAATATACTTAAACTGACATGACAAAATTCAGCCAAGGGATACATGTACAGAGACAGATCTGATGTTATCACACAGCTTACCTATAAACGGCTCTACCGGTTAGTTTACCTTGAAAGATAGTTAAGCACCACCCTAGTAAACCTAGAAAGTGAGAAAAACATTTGCAGCATTGCACGACCCTCCACGATTTCATCCTTTATGTTTCTTGCTGTTTGAGCCAGTACTGGTCCTGATGCCTCAATTATGCTACTGGCTTCCTCCTGCACCCGAGCTAATCAAGTGAAGATGAAGTAAATTCATCCCATCATTTTAGTAGTAAGAACAAATGGGAAAAGCTTAATGTTACATGCATAGATAACCTGGTGGAGTAAAGTCTGTTAACCGACGTAAGCTCTCCTCAGCTACACGGACAGCTTTGGTTGAACCTTTAACCCCCTGGGTAATCTCTTGCCTGCAGAACAAAAAGGGTAACATAGAAATGAACATGCGATGAATTTTTTACCTATCAATATCAAAGAGGGAGAAAATATGTTGGAAAGACCCTTCGATTCAACAACGAATACTAACCCTAAATCACTAAGCTCCATTGTTAAGTCACTAATCTCCATGCCAGACAATCGAATGGCAGCCATTGTATCAGGAAGCTCTTCTCTCGTGACATCCATCAGCTTCTCAAGCGACTCTGCAGCTCTTTTGAATGCCTTTGGGAAATTTGATACATGATAGAGAATTGCATGGCAATCACAACAGCCATTAGCAAAGACTATACTCAAGACACCATATTTTCACTAAGTATCAAATAAAAGGCAAATATTAAGCACAATAATAAACTGAGAATTGCTGTATTACACATTAAGTTATGTCATTATAAAAGCATAGTTAAATGGAATTGTTATGCCCCAAACAATGCCATTTTAATTGCTTTCTTATATTCCCCCTTCCAACCACCAGGCAGCGTGCACACACTACAAAACCATTGGATGAACTCCATTCATAAAAGACCATAAACTGCATAAAGTTGTGAAAGCTAACTGATTCAAGAGTCTGGTCACTACCAATTTCATTCAAGAGCAAAACTAAACACATTTTGGTTGATGTATTGATCAAATAACTTCACAAGCACAATCACTAAACATATTTTACCATACGAAAAACAACAAATACCCAAAGATACGTCAAACAAGAAGCCAAATAGCAGCCTAATGAATCAAGCTTAAAAATGACCACAAGAATCAACACTAGATACTTCAAGTAAATAACAAAGCTCTATAAAGCTAGTATATTGATTCGAAGCCACCATTATGTTCATATAAAAACTAATAAAAATTTACAAAGTCCCATCCGAAAACTGGTTAAAGATTTTAAAGTTAGGGAGTTGCTATCAACAGAGTGTTGCTGTAGATTGAGGGGGTAAATGGGGGAACCAAAGCTCAAAGAAGCCGAAGATGTTGAGAGATACCAACCAGAAGAGTAGGGATAGCAGAGCAGAAAAGCCAAGTCGCGGAAACTGCCGCCTGCAATACATTTCAGAAAATTTCAGAATCTCCAGAAAATTAGTATCACTCTGATAGCAAAATTATCAACATTCAATCACAAAATTCGAGTTGGATTAAGCTTAATTGCTGTTTTATCTACAAATTACGATCGCATTATCTGTCTTCCATTAGTTACACATTGATGAACAGAAAATCAAAAAAGAGGTAGTAGAGAAAGGACTGACAGCGCAAGCGATGACATTGAGGCAGAAGATGTGGCGGTCGGTGATGGTGAGGTGGGAGAGATGAAAAGACGACGGAGCTCCCACAGCGGAGGCGTACTGAGAAGAAAATGACGCTTCGGATGCGAGGGATGATGTTGCAGCCGAATCATATTGAGAGCGGACAGGCACAGACAGAGAGGCGAGGCGGCGAGGGAGTCGGCGAGTGTAAAGGCGACGGAAGGAGCGGATTTGAGCGGGGAAGATGCGGTTAACGGAGGCGGAGCCGAGGTTTATTGCAGGATTTGATGGC